CCCTGACATCATTTGAAGAGCTGCTCAGTGTTGGAGTTCAGAGAAAGCAAGTCCATCAGTTAGGAAGTCCGTGCTCAAGCCCTTTAGGAGGCTCGACTGGGACTCTAGCCAGCGGCTGACGCACCCAGTCACAATGACCACTGGTTTTCCAGCCAGAAGTTATGAGGTCATCTGTCTCTAACACTGGAATCTGGGCTAGGGAGCCTGCTGTGGTGCTGAGAACCCTCATTCCTCCAGGGGGAACACTACAACCAAGATATGTCTCCCAATTTTTAACAGTCACATGGGGGGTGGCACCAGCCCATTCCGTTTTTCTGCCCCTCCTGTGAGTCTCAAGTTACTTCTTATGTGTGTCCATAGAGGTAGGACTTTGGTTGAGTTAGACTTCAGGTGATTCTCAGTGATGATTCTTCTGTAGTTTAGTTGTAATTCTGATGTGGTTGTGAGAGAAGGCAAGGACTGCATTTACCCACTCTGCCTTTTTTACTGAAACCCACAATTTTTCTAGTTTGATATCTTCATTGATTTCTCTGTAAAACTGTAAAGTGACAAACCCTGGAACTCACGTTCACATAGACTCCTTATTGACATATTCTCATGTCATTTACATGAAAAGTATGCTAAGACAATGAGGCTTAATCTACATGAAATCTAGACAAATTTTTTTAAAGTTTACAGTTAGTGTTACTTTTTTTGCTGTATTTTGTTTTTAAATAAACTTTGATATTTTAGACAGATAGCATGCCAATGGAAGTGGTCTCTTACACAAGTTATGCAGAAATCATTCTTCACACCATTGACGACGGCAGCAAATGGGGAGCTGGAAGCCCAAAATACATCCTCAGGGCTTCATAATTTTATCAATTCCTCTACCCAACAGTACTTTTTGTCTGCTAGTAATAGTTTGTAAGTCACTTTATCCCTGTGCTACGCAGTGTGTAATCAGCATGGACTACATGTGGATGCTACCTCATAGACTGAACATACAAATTATATGACGATGAGATACAGAGTAAGCCACTGACATGGAAATAGCAGAATCTTGCCCTAAACCAAGTTCCCAAATCAATTCATCCCTAGCAGCTAATTATGTTGGGATGCGTTAGCAAGTACTCAGATGAGTAGATGAAAACAACTTGCTCTAGCAGATGAGAAAAGTCATCCCCAAAACTGTATAGTTAAGAATGTGCCATCAATCTGTACACACAGTCTGGCTGCAGAGTGAAGGAAGGCTGGTTTCCTTTTTTTTTTCTTTTGTTTACAGAGGTGGAAAGTGAACATTTGGTTGAACGATTCTCTATCAAATTAGGGTTTTAATTTTATGTTTAATTGTTTGAAAATGTTGGGCAACCTAACATATTGGTATGTGCTATAACATGGGGAAACCCTGGAAATGGGATGTTACGTGAAAGAATCTAGTCACGAAGGACCTCATGTTGTGTGATTCCGTTTATATGAATGACCAGAATAGGCAAATCTATAGTGGCAGGAAGTAGATTGGTGGCTGTCTGGGGCTGGGAGAGGCAGGAAGCTGGGAGTGACACTAAGTGATGTGGGGTTTCTTTTGAGGTGATGGAAATGGTCTATAATTCTGATAGTTGCACAACTCTCTCAATGGATTAAGGGATATTGAATTGTACCTTTTCAATGAGAGA